ACATTCATTCGGGGAAAAATATATTTTTATATAATATCATATATTTGCTGCTGCTGCTGCCTAAAATGTTGTCTTAAATACTTGTATTTGCCAGTAATTATCTAGTTCATTAAAGAAACATTCATATTTTCAATGCGCAATGTTTCTTGATTCAGAGTAATATTTTTTTTCTGTTCAAAAAATATGTATTTTTTATCTCATGTTGTCTTAAATACTTGTATTTGCCAGTAATTATCTAGTTCATTAAAGAAACATTCATATTTTCAATGCGCAATGTTTCTTGATTCAGAGTAATATTTTTTTTCTGTTCAAAAAATATGTATTTTTTATCTCATGTTGTCTTAAATACTTGTATTTGCCAGTAATTATCTAGTTCATTAAAGAAACATTCATATTTTCAATGCGCAATGTTTCTTGATTCAGAGTAATATTTTTTTTCTGTTCAAAAAATATGTATTTTTTATCTCATGTTGTCTTAAATACTTGTATTTGCCAGTAATTATCTAGTTCATTAAAGAAACATTCATATTTTCAATGCGCAATGTTTCTTGATTCAGAGTAATATTTTTTTTCTGTTCAAAAAATATGTATTTTTTATCTCATGTACCATTATTCCTTCTCACGAAAAAATTAAACTTCTACTAATTATTTTGTGCTTCAACTTGTTGAAAAATAATATAATATACATGGATATCTTTGGTAGAAACTCCAGCAAGAAAGATTGGTTGGCATGTCCATTGGTTATTATCAATTAGCATTATAATAAAAGAAACTCCTACCTGTATAATACAGTAGAGAGGTATTTATATTGTCTCCAACCCTCTTTCTGTTGTATATCAAAGAAGAGTTATTGTATTTTTGTGTCGGATATTTACTTCATGTTCATTTTCACGAAATTGAACTTCTTCATAAAGATACTGCGGCGATTTGTTCATCATTATATCATGAAATAAGGTTAGAAATTGCAATAAGAAACGAATCTTCAATGACAGCCATTGCGACTGAGAAAGCTTATGAGAAATATGCTGGAACTTACCAATGCCATAGATGCAGCGTAAACAGGAATTTTGGACTTTTTGTATCCTGCACAAATCTAGACTATTCAAACAGGAAAATATACAGGCGAACAGTAGGTGAACTGTGAATGGATGAGAGTCTGACATACATTAGTTTTTGTCTGAGTATTTAGGTATGCTCGGTGATAGTGAATCAATCTTAAGTTCGCGTAAGCCTGAAATCATTATCCAACATCAAGCCAAGATTTGTTGCCTCCGGTACTGTATTTAGATTTATACCATTGAGAGAAATATTTACTTAAGATAAATAACCTGGCAATTGCTAATGATTTGTTCATACTTTCTTTTTTCAGATGTTGCTGCTGCATCCCTTGCCGGAAACGTACTGATGGTACCAAGCCCCAGATAGTCAAGGACAACTGTTGTCAATGTAATTACGCGGTTTTAGAGAAACTGACGGAACAGGGTGACATAGAAATAGTGTATGCCACATACCACGTGGACGTTGGACAAACTCCTTTCTTCGTCGCTTTAGATGTCTCCAACCCTCTTTCTGTTGTATATCAAAGAAGAGTTATTGTATTTTTGTGTCGGATATTTACTTCATGTTCATTTTCACGAAATTGAACTTCATCATAAAGATACTGCGGTGATTTGTTGGTGATTATATCGTGAAATAAGGTTAGAAATTGCAATAAGAAACGATTCTTCAATGACTGCCATTGCGACTGAGAAAGCTTATGAGAAATATGTTGCAACTTACGGATGCCATAGATGTAGCGTAAACAGAAATTTAGGACTTTTTGTATCCTGCACAAATCTAGACTATCCAAACAGGAAAATATACAGGTGAACTGTGAATGGATGAGAGTCTGACATAAATTAGTTTTTGTCTGAGTATTTAGGTATGCTCGGTGATAGTGAATTAATCTTAAGTTCGCGTAAGCCTGAAATCATTATCCAACATCAAGCCAAGATTTGTTGCCTCCGGTACTGTATTTAGATTTATACCATTCAGAGAAATATTTACTTAAGATAAATAACCTTTGGCATAATAACTTGGTACCAAACATAAGAACCTGCGTTTTATTAGGATTGAGTTGCAGATCGTGTTTCACGGAAGAGTCATAAATGTTTTGAAGTTCAGTATTGACCTCAGCAACAGCTTCATTCAGCATTTCTGGTTTAAAATATACATAAAGTTGGGTATCATCAGCGTAAACATGATACTTACAGAGATTGATCTTATTCAGTATATTTGAGGTATATAAACTGAAAAGCAAAGGCCCAAGTATAGATCCTTGCGGATAACCGCTCATTAATCTCACCGATTCAGGACTCGAATGCTTTACTGTAGTTTAATGAGATCAGTAACGAGATGTCTTCTGTATCTGTTGCTGTCTTCCGTTATTTTAAGCAAAGCTGTTGTACAGCTATGTAGAGAGCTGAAACCCGATTGAAAGAGAGGCATTAGATTAAAGTTACTTGTCTATTCCCTGATTTGTTTGTTCAATATGCGTTACAATAACTTAGATATGGTGGGTAGAATACTTATGGGTCTAAGATATAAGCTGTTTTGGTTTGGGACAGATATAACATACGCAAGTTTCCACTGAGTTGGGAATTGAATGGCAATTGCTAATGATTTGTTCATACTTTCTGTTTTCAGATGTTGCTGCTGCATCCCTTGCCGTAAACGAACTGATGGTACCAAGCCCCAGATAGTCAAGGACAACTGTTGTCAATGTAATTACGCCGTTTTAGAGAAACTGACGGAACAGGGTGACATAGAAATAGTGTATGCCACATACCACGTGGACGTTGGACAAACTCCTTTCTTCGTCGCTTTAGACTATGACAGAAANCAGCCTAATTCCAAGCGGTAAATTAGGATGGACATTTCTGTTCATTCCCAACCACCACCTTAGATTGAGGTGAGTACTTCTGTCCAGCCTCGGGATTGGTTTTTGTTTTTGTTGTTTCATTCATGTTTGTTCCCACGAGTAGCAAGGGAAGAGTTGGTCACCTCTGGCAGATCCCCGCATTACCAGAGGATGGCTGATTGCAATGAGGTTTCGCCCGGTTCCCCAAGGGGATCGTTCGTGACCGTATATCACCCTGCGGCCATTCAGCTGTCGGCACGATTGCTTGCACCTTAGCTTGGGTAGGCTGGTCCATGGTGGCTTTTGGGGAGTTTTAGTTTCCCTCACCCTACTTATTTCTGCCACTGACCAGGAGTCTGGCAACCCCGTCCATAAGGCCACATTGGCTTCCCGGACAGGGCCTCCAGTCCTCTGGCCGTTCCCCTATCCGCCACCTGGGAACGCGCTCGATAGGTAGCCCAATCTAGGGGTAATAAGATAGTTGAATAAATTGTTATATATGACGGAAAACCATGTTTTTGATAAAAATAGCTCCCCTTCATATCTCAAGAAGTAAGCTGCTAGCAAAAATCTGAGTACAGTTTTGGAATCAGGGTAGAAATGGCAGCTAGATCTATTGAAAATATTACATGAAACAAAAAATGCTGTCGTACAGTGTTATAGGACTTCTCACTGGACACTGTCTATTGAGAAGACTGCTGAACAAAATAGTGTACGTGATTCTCGGGCCCAGTAATCACCTACCAACAACAACCATCGTCAGTTCAATCAGGTTAGAGCCTAGTTCCCTTACCCTTGTAGCTGATTTTTGTCAGAAAGACAAATGGGTTCATCACTAAGAGGTGGTGGCAGTATGAAAGTCCTCAGACATTAGTACCGCCCTTCAAGGTGTACTCCTACCTGGCTGGGGTATAATCAATAGCTTCCCTAACTAACGGGTTTTGGTGAGTTTCGGCACGATCAAAAACTCGGCGATTCCTCGACTGAATGGACTGCTTGATGCAGGCAGCTGCAAATCTCTGCGGATGGTTTCATTTCGTACGAACCACGGAGCATTCACAATCATCCGTATCAGCTTATTTTGTTTTCTCTCCAGAATGGAGATGTTAGACGGAGCCGTTTGTCCCCAGACGCCTGAAGCATACATGATGACAGGCTTGAACATCATTTTATAGATCGTAATTTTGTGTTTCAGGCTTAGTTTGGATCGTCTATTGATTAGAGGCTACAGACTTTTGATCCGACCCTTGATCTTTGCCTTCACGGTTGTGATGTGCGGATTCCAGATGAGACTACGGTCTATTAGAAGACTGAGGTACTTTACCCGCGCTTGCCAGTCGATCTCTCTTCCAGAAATCCTCACTTTTCTGGCTGAAGAAGATAAAATTCTTTCCATGGTTATCGCCTGAGTCTTTTCCGGGTTCACTCGAATCTTCCATTCGAGGTACCAGCGCTCGAGGTCGTCCAATGCACGTTGCATGTAGACGATCACGAGTCCCCGACCCATGGATCGGCGTAGAGGGATATCTTCGTACACTCAATAAGTATTGCCAAAACAGGTACAAAACCCACTCAAAGGATAGCTGTTGAAATGTATACATGTAACTGTGAACAAAAACTTAATTAAATCATTCAATAATTGGTAGAAAGTGTTAAAACATAATAAAAAAAACAATCGATGAAAAAAAACATAATAACACATGTAGGTATGAATGAATAACATGTATGAATACAAAGGAATACATTTTCAGATTTTTCATAAACACAAAGTGAAAAATAATATGTTTTATTTTCCTCCAGGCGTTGAAAATAGTTCAGTTTTTTCGCAAATATGATTTAATTTTTTACACATCGAATGAATTGGAGATTTCAATACCATATTCATTTCGGAGTAGTTAAATAAAAACAGAGTGAGCTTTTGCTGTTTGAACGGGGTATGTTGAAGTTTGTGAGTTTATATATCAAAATGCAAGAGAGGTAGGTCCTGCGGTCCTCCAGAGATAACGAAAATCTGTGTAGTAATAAGTTATTATCAAAAACTTTTTCGAAATAAGTTCTGTCAATTCTGTATACAATATACTTCAAATGTTTTCGTTGAATTGATTTAAGCACATGAGTGTGATTCGAGTAAATAGGAGACCAACTCAACGAGCCATATTCTAAACACATTCTCACATTTGAGGTAAAGGGAGCAATGAAACTATCTTCATTTTTGAAGTCTTCATAGTTTCTGAAAGTTAAGCCAAGCATTTTTTTGCTGCCCATGCGGTTTTGATTATGTGCGATGAGAAAGAAGCTCAATTTGGGGTCAACATTAATGCCAAGATCTTTTGTTATATCCCGTGTTAGGAATCACACGTTAGCTCGCAGAAGTTTTGACTTCTTAGGGTTGTCGTTCGTATGGGTTCGACATCTGGTTAACGAAAATACATATTTTTCAATATATTTTTAAACACGGACCCAAAATAATTTAATTTATTGAGTAAGTATATTCCACTGGTTTGATTTTTGAAGTATAAGTAGTGTAATGACATTTCTGTATATTAAGGGGTAATTTATTTGTTTCACACCAAGAAGCTGAACAATAAATATCTGTTTGGAGGAAATTACATTCCTTTTGAGATTCAATGACTTCAAATAATTTCAAGTCATCAGCGAATGAAAGAATGCTGCTCCGATATTCTGATAAAACAATTCATGGCTTTTGCACCATGATAATGCACTTGCATTTGGTCGAAAACAATACCGTAATCATGTTCAAGCCACCGTATTCGCCAGATTTATCCCCTGCGACTTTTTCCTGTTCCCGCGATCCAAGAGACCCATGTAAAGACGGCGTTTTGCGACGACGATTGAGAAGATACAAATCGGCTCGCTGAGAGCGAACACGCGGATTAGAAAAACCGCTGAAACAATTGTAATATATCTTAGGGGAACTTATTTGAAGGGGACACTTCTATGTGTATTCTTCCATTTCATTATGTCTCCTTGATTATTTTTGTATATCTTTCAATGAAAATTAAAGTTTTTTCTCAACACCAAACGAGAAAGATTAATCTTCCTCTTGAAGATGATCACTTTTCACTCGAAACACGTGTCGAGGTGGATGAAACTCCAGTAATATTCATCAATTCACCAAACGTTTCAAAAAGTGCATCACAAGTATATCCATTAACATTCAACAATTTCTAGTGCAGGTATCTTTGTTTGATAGGAGTATTTAACATTTTAGTTTACTATTAATATTATCAAACTATTATTGAATTGAACTGGTCGATACTTGATGAAAATCCGTATTAAAACTAATTATTACAGTTTATTGAATGATTTTCACTATAGAGGATTTTACAAAACCCGCTACACGTGTTTCGATATACAGTTTCGTTTCGTAAACAGTTTACGCTTGAGGAAGCTATTGTATATCGAAACACGTGTCGCGGTTATTGTAAAACCCTTTATAGTGAAAATCATACAATGAACTGTATTAATTAGTTTTAATATCAAACTATTCAGACTCTATCATACACATTTTTTTTCAGGTGCTGGGACGGCAAGTATTTTGGGTATCCTATTGAGGGAGAGACATCCCAGTTTGTTGTGTTATTGCTACTCTCCCCCCGGGGGGCTTCTCTCTTCCCCTGCTGTGGAGTACACCAAAGAGTTCACAGTGTCAGTGGTGGTGGGAAAAGACGTCGTGCCTCGAATAGGCCTTCACCAGATGGAAACACTGAGGACCGATCTCATCAATGCCATCAAGAGAAGTGTGGACCCGAAAGTATGTACAAGTTTCTTCATGTCTTACTACTTAAGCAAGAATACAGTGCAGTTCAGTATATGAGGACTTTAAAACAGTTTGTGTTCAGTTAATTGATAACCTCAATTATCACAATATATGAAATCAATGTATCTATTATTCAAATATCCACTTAATACTATTTGGTCGACTTTACAAAAACTGTCTGAGAAAGGATTCTATGTTAGATCAACGTTGTTGTTGATTCATGTTTTATTTGTGTCAGGTTTCTCTCACATTATGCATAATCCAGAAGATATACCCACAACCCCATTTTTGATGTGGATATATTTTTCATTCACCATTGCACTTTAACGTAGTGACACCGTCTCCAATTTCTAACAGAAAAGTTTCCGATGTTTGACGCAGGAAATGACCTGTATACTTTTCTAGATCTCTCAAATTCATATATTTTGCAATGATTAACGGTGTTTTCCAAATGGCTGTACAGCACATCGACTTTATCTATAAGTATCTACAACCATGTGACTTTAAATGTATGTAACTTCTCATCAGCTTCAAACTGTTCATTTTATCTTTATCGGTTTTTGTTCAAGGTGCGGTTACCACGAAAGCTCGTTTTCTATGTTCTGTTCTGTGAGTAACTAGCATATTCATAAGATATTAGCGTCGACATCTACCAAATACACTAGATATTAATGCAACATTGACAAAAATGTATGCAATGCCCGAAGAATAAATTGTTCCTCAACTGCCCTGCAGCGTGGAGTGTTAGAACAGTTGACTTAACTGTCCTTCTCTTAACAGCAGATCAGGAAAAAGAGGTTCCAGTTTCACAACTCTTGATCTTGTTAACAAACCTAGTAGACTAGGTGGATGCAGTCAGAGAGCCATTTATAGCCTCCTCGAGAACGGTGAGAGCAGAATCTGCATCAGTTGAAACAAACTCCCCAAAGCAGGGCAGCAATCCCTTATGTCGAAATGGTGATGCATTCAAACCAGAGGCGAGAGAGTTCTGCATGGCTGCATTCATTATATCGTCAGATTTAGCTAACTTAACGATGGCTTCATATGGGAAGGTCTGCGATCATTACACTTATAAATATTGCACCTTGAATATCCGGCAACCTCAATTTCTACCAAACATCTGGATCCTTTCAGTATGCGACTATATCATTTTCCAGGACATGATTCATTCCGGTCTGGGTGGCTACAGGTTACCTTAGTGGATTAGGAGTATCTCCTGGCTGTCGACTGCAGTTTCCTTTGCAGCCAAGGAATGGCAGGGGCAACTGAAATACATCTAAAGAAACTTCCTTCGCCAGCTACATATTTGTGTTTCTTACGTACCTGACGAAGGTATTCGCTAACCCATCGCCGATCAGGTCGTCACCAGATTGAGGAAAACTCAGCATTTAACTTCGGAATGGATTATCCTGCACAAAAAAAATTCAGGCTCCTATTGTGCCTGTCCCACTGCGGACAGGATCAAGGTTACATCGTTTGGTAGAGTCAGATCATTGCCACTTGATCGATCACTCACCAAATAAAATAAATGGCTTCGTTTAGAAGCTGGGTGTTGAGTTTGAATATGTGTGTTACTAGTGATCCTCTTGATTGAATGGACCCAGTAACTTTAGAATTTGGGAATCCTACTGTCTTCGTCATCCTCTCTCTGTCAGTCAGTTTGTAGCATTGCTGAGAATTATTGCCACCACATCTGTAACAGTTGCGTCTGCTGAAAGGAGTTTTTCGAGGCTTGAAATTATCAAAACATGTTTGAGGAATTCGATGACACAAGAACGGCTTGCTATTCTTTCAATCGAAAATGACGTAGCTCATTCGTTAGATTATTGTGCTTTAATTAAAGATTTCAGTCTAAGGAAAAGCCGCAAACATCAATTTAAATTTCTGTATTTATTAATTTGGAAATCTTTCAAAATAAAATATTTTAAAACTCAAATTTTATTTATTTGGATATCTATAGCATTTCTTGTCATTTCGTTAGACATACAAATACTTAAACCTATAAATAACTATTATGATCTATGGTTTTTAGAGATCGCTACTATTACTTTCAACTATTTTCAGTGGAAGACTATAGCATGCAGCGTTCTTTGCTGTGGCTGTTCCCAACCTACGTCAGCTGTTGAACTGTCCACGGGGGAAAAAGATGTCTGTGAGTATATGAGATGCAAAGAGAACGCTAGGTCTCTTGGATTACATACTTCTGATAGCAGTATTGCTCTGACCACTCATCAACCACTGTTTCCACCTGGAAGAATTGTTCTCATAGTGAGACACCATCCAACAACTGGGCAGTAAGTATAAGATTTGTTTGTACCAGCATGAGTTAGAAAATTTTAGTTATCTAACAAATAAAATTATTTTTTTTGAGATTTGAGCTCGGGTTGAAATTTGTGGGAATATAGGAGCCAAGTCGGACTGGTGAATATTGAAGTCAGTACCACCCTGTATATTCTTTCAAATATGGTATTTGTATTTCTGTCTTCAAGAATCACTAGCAATAATTATGTTTAAAACAGTAACATATCGGGAAAGAAAGTTTTTGGCATTCTACTACTCCATCTTGATACANCTTTTGAGGGTATTGCGTGTGTTCTTGTCTCATGTAGTGAGGATTTTCCGTTGACAAGTAGCGGCAATTTTGCCGACTATCATGACCGTTAAGAGACAAAATGCACTCATCAGAAAACATAAGCCTTCTAATTGGGTGATATTGTTATCCAACATGTCCATCATTCGCTCACAAAAATAAGTTCTTCCATCAAAATCGTCTTCCATGAGCTCCTGAGTAGGTATCATTTCATAGGTAGGTATCATTTTATTTTCTTTTAATATGTCAACTATCGATTTATGGCTAACATTGAATGTAGTGGATGCCTGTCTACTCGAAGTATGTGGGTTTTCCTCAAACTCAAGCATCACGGTTGCATCGGCAACTGCTTTTTTATCTGCCTCACATGACCAAGCTTCCGAATCTGCTTCTCTATTTTGCTTATTGTTCCTTCACATATGAGCAGTATATTAGGAAATTTAACATGAAATAGGCGAGCTACTTCCTGCTGTGTTTCTCCGTAACCAATCATTTGTTGAACTGTTTTATGCATTTCCGTTAATCTAACCATTTGTCAGACTTGAAATTAACGAACTTAAAACTCGATTCAAAATACTGACAACTGATGTTGTAATATACAAAACAAGTTGAGGCGTTTTAAAATAATGTTGCCACGGAAATTATTTACAGTTTTTCAAAGGATACCATCTAAAAAGAACATTGCTACGGTTTGTTGCAATAAACTTGAGAGCGATAACATTTCTGAATAGAAATTGAAGAGACCATGCAAACGATATATCACAAGCCTATACTTCCCATTTAAAAAAATTGGGGATTGTACCTGTCACTCGACGGGGGTTAAAGGTAGGGATATCACTTTTCCATTGAAGTATGTCAAATTATAATTCAAATGTGATGTGTTTCGGGATTTTGTTAAAATATGTAGGTACCGTAAGCGAAATAATGAATTCATTCCATTTGGCTTTCACACACTGTATAATGTGTGGTATCTGAAGTTCAACTTTGGCAAACCCACCACTGTATTTTTCAAAATACAATGTTATACGTTGATTCACAACAAACCCATGTTTTCACTTTCAAAATCAAGAAACGAAACATATCCATTCACAATACCCTCAATGAGGTTGAAAGTTCATTTTAAACAGCTACTTTCATATAAACATTGAATTATACAAAAGAAAAAATTCTTTCGAAACATATACTTCTATATGAACACTGAATTATATAGAAGATACTTTTCTCTACTCAGTTTGTATTTCAAACATTCGTTGTGGAATAAAAATCAGATATCGTTTACATGAGTTGTGGTACTTTTTAAAATACAAATATCTCAACAGTTTTTTTCAAATCATTCAAATGTTTTTGATATTCCCCGGATCAAATAATTGAGGCAAATTTTAGTTTAGTCCTGACCAGGGAATAGTAATATGATTAGCAGATTTGATTATGTTATCAATGTGAGTGGGAAAGTTGAATTGTGAATTATAAGTATCACGAAGATCCTTTATTTCAAATTTTCTCTCTAAGATCCCCCTACCCATTACATATTCAAACAGAATCTTAATACAGATGATTTAGAGTACGGAACATTTTTTTAAATTAAAATATAATTTAATTCTTAGACAATCAATGGTTTTATCAATATCTCTCTGCAGAGCTATGCAGTTGTGGAACTCCATAATTAGCCAAAAATTTACCTGAAGTGTTTCCATTATGTTTAATCGTGAATTCTAGCAAATATCTGAACAATCCACAGTCACTAAGCTTTTCGTCATAATGCACCTGATCATATACCTTCCAGAAGTCCGTAAAAACAATATCAACTGTGATTTATTTTCTGACGTGTCAAAAGCCTCATTGCTAAGTTTCAATAGATCAGTGCCAAAGTGCTGAATGGTTTTTGTCTGAAATGGAACTTTGTAGAATTCCATGATTGGTGTTCAAAAATGTGACTTGGAATGATCACTGTTGACGCATTTTGAGTTGAATTCATTATAAGTTATTAACTTGATTTAAACCTTTTATTTTTCTGTTGTTGTATTCGAACTCAAATGAATGAAAACATTCTTCAAATTTTTGTAAATTTCCTCACATTCCTACAAATTCTAACTTCGAAACTTTATAACACTAACACTAACCATTACTAACCAAGTGTTTTAACAATTTCAGACAAAAGTATGAAAAACGATGGAGGTAATACTAATATAATGAAAAGTACTAACCCGTACCTTGTGCATGATCAATGAAAAAAAGTGAAGAGTTGAAGTTTTATTTTTTGTTTTCAAAAAACCTTCATTTGCTTCATTGAACTCAGGCATGTGGACCATTTGCCCCAATGAACTCTGTGTCGATTGATGAAAATAGATTTTGTGGTAACATTAAACCGAATGAAATTGTAGCAAAAAGTTTGATAGTATGAACAGTGTTGCTGATATTTCCGAAGGCGAAAGCCTCGAGATTATGAAACTAAAACTATTCACGCAAATAACATATTTTTCCTTGCAGTTTAAGAACTTTTCGCTACAAATGCTTTTTAGTGAAGTTGGGAAGTGAAACCATTGCATGTAATATGCACTAGGAACAATGATCCAGTGTTTTTTTATACTTTTGTGGTGTCGAGTGGTAGATCTATTGATGTGTATTTATGTTCTAACTTTGGTATTGAATCAAGTCATCTCCAGAACGAAGACGTACATATAAAAACTGAATTATTCTCTTTATGCTGCCTACTTGAGAGTTTCATATGATAATAAAAAAACCTGGAGAGTATTAGTCATAGTCGTAGTTTTCTCGGTCTACTAACATGAGGGCTCATATCTTAATTGGTTTTTTGGATGCCATTTAAATGAAAACTATATCCTAGTTTTTTATCGACCTTTTTTGGGTAATTGTTACCTTCCACAATCTGAAAAATATAAAAATTATAATGGAGAACTTTATACAAGTGTAGAAGGGCAAACTTTTTAGTTTACCCCGATAAGTTACTGCGTAAAAATCAAAGTATTTTTCACAAAGAAAAATCTTCTATTTATCAGTAACTTGTCGTATTT